AAATCTTACTGCTTAAAAAAAAAAAAAAAGAAAAGAATATTACAGCATCAAATTTCAGGAAGCCTGTTTTGAAAACGATAACATGTTTTACTATGAATAAAGATGTGTAAGCAACAAGTCATTATCATGGTTTTTTTTCCGGCGAAAATTTGGCTTATTATCAATTGTTTATTTTGCAAAAGTTTATGTGTATTATTGAAAAGCTACGTAACACCGGTTACCGCACATTCGCTCGTTGCAATTTTTATGTTTTTTTTTTTGTTGTATTTTTGTGTTTCTACATGTTCTCAGCTCTTTTCTTTGAACCTCGCTTACTTTGAACGTCACACTCTGACACGGGTATATTGCATTATATTTATTAATCGCTGCTTATAAAGTCGCGATAAGCAGTGCACGCACGCGATTAATGCGGGTCGGACTTGAGAAACTCGTTGTAAGCGTCCTCGTCCATGAGATTTTTGATCTCTTCGGGATTGCTGACTTCGACTTTGAATAACCATCCCTCGTCGTAGCAGGAGGTGTTTATCAGAGCAGGTTTGTTCTCGACGGCTTCGTTCTTCTCGACGACCTTGCCGCTGCACGGACTCATGATCTCCGAGGCGGCCTTTACCGATTCCAAAGCGCCGCATTCCTCTGTTAAAAAGATGAAAATTTGAATTGAATTTGGAGTTAGACAGCCCCGATGAATCGATGTACGAGTTGACCACAAGTACTCACCTTCTTTTTTGATCTCTTGACCGATATCCGGTAACTGAGTGTAAACAACGTCGCCGAGTGCATCCTGCGCGTAATCGGATATACCGACTGTGCCGATTTTTCCATCCAACGAGACCCACTCGTGTTTATCGGTATACCTTCTCTCTGGAAAATTAATCATATGTATGATATAAATACAATTTTGGAAAAAATGAAAATCTCGTTATCGCGAGGGCATAGATGTTTTAGCTTGACACGCGTAACCGCGTGTGCGGTCATCATCGTGGAATTACATAACCGATCGACCCAGCTCGAATCGGCGCGCCAGCGATATTGCAATATATGCGATCATCTTGACAGAATTTTTTTTTCTTCCACCACGATGCTGACGACGATGAGATTTCGCAACGAACTGCGGAGCGTCTAGTTTACGATTTTTGTACTCTTTTTTTTTTTTAACACAGTTGCAACGAAACCGATTTTTCAGTCAAGGCAAGGGCGAACGTGTTTTTCTCGATTATATAGCTTCTCTCCAATAACATCGAAGCGCGCTCGGATCCTCGCTCCAGATGTCAAAATTTTTCGATCGCGTCCATTCTCAAAGAAATAGATAATTCGACCGAGTTCGATTTATCGGCGAACATATGTGTCCCACACGCGCCGCCGCGCGCGAACTCGAGATAAATATCAATGCAGTTCGGAGCAGCGCGATGAGCACAACAAATGTGTGCCACGAATTTCGCGCGTGCTTCGCTATTCGTCAAAAGCCATTCGATCGAGAGCGGATCGTCGGTATCAAAACACCGGAAAAGTTAGGAAGCAACGTAACCGAAATGCGAGTTGCGCAAGGAGCGACGGTATTCAAACGATAAACAGTAAGTAACGCAAGATCCGCGAGTAAATAAAAAAAAAAGGCATCGAGCTGAACACGTGCAGAGGAGCCGAATGCGCCGACTGGTGGGCAGATTATTCCCAGCCCGAGCAGAAGATATCGTATCAATGTGCAATTTTAAATTGCATTAAAATGTAAGAAAAAAACCGAGGCAATCGAGGAAGCTCGCGAGAGGCTTCACGTCGAGCTTGAAACTGCCAACAGCGAGCACTTGATGTATCAAAACTATCGTATACATAGCAACTTACCCGCGAGGCATTTGTGTGTGGTGGCGAGGTTTCTGACGAAGCTCGATGCTTTGGGCGCCGACAGGAACGACGTCTCCAGAAGGACGATCGACCTCGCGCCGCAGCGGGCCATCTGCCTCACCAAGTGTGCCATTCTTATTATCTGTTACTCTTCCTTTTGCGATCCTTCGATCAGTTCTCCGTCGACGCGTGGGACGTTTAACCTTTTTTCTGTCGGTGGTACAACACCGCGTCGTCTGCTCGAACTGGCGTGTTTCGGTGTGTCGCGGCTGCGTAATCCGCGCCTGCAGGCCTCTCCCGTGCGTGTATATTTCAAGCTTATATCAGACTTCGCAGCAGATGCAGCGGCAACGGCAGAAACACAATTATTAAATGCGGGGCTGGCTCGCGAGGCGCGCGCGACTCTCTCTGCCTCTCATGCACACGCAAAAATCTCGCTCGCTCGGTGTGCTCGGCAAGTGGCGAACGCTGACTGGGAGAGCAAATGATTATTTCAGATATGCGTATTAGGAAGTACATTTTATCGCGAGCGCGAGCTGGTGTGTACAATTACATTATTGCATGCATCGTCCGATTTCGCCTCTGCCAAACATCGCGTATATGAACTTTCGCTTTCGCAGATCGGCCGAAGAGCTTATTGACGGATTTAACTTTTTACC